TTCTGTGGAACAAATGGCACTGACGCAGTCTAGATGCTTTAATAAATGGTTATGTATTTTAGAAAGAATAGTTGTTCTTGTATTATTGATAACAGAAGTTTCTATATTTGACTTTCTTCCCCCAGGAAAAAAAAAAAAAAAAAAGTAGTAGAAATCTGGGAGCACTATCAGCACTGTGAAGACGGAAAGAAAACCAATGGAAACGTTTTGCTTTTCCAAAGGGATAACATGGCATAGATGCAGAAGAAAAAAAATTAATGACTTCTTTTTCTATAGCTTTCACAATGTAGTCCACCAAAAAGAGTCCCACGTTCTCTTTCTGTTATTACTCCCAAAATCTAAGGATACCTCTATCTGAGTCTGTTTTTCAAATCTATTTCCTCCTCCTCAAGATTAAAATACAATAACCCAGGATCAACCAACCCTAACCAAAGTACTTCTCTTTTTCTTTTAAAAGTGAAAAAACCCTTTTTTTTCAGGAAACCCAAATTACAAAGCCCATTAGACCTTTTTTTTTTTTTTTTAAACCAATGTGAACTGAATGTATAAAGCTAATAAACACATCTGGATACACCAGTGGCATGAAACCACAAAGTTAGAATCAATATTAAAACCTTAAAACGAGCCTCTCTCTCGCTCACTTTTTTTTTTAAATTTAACACTCCAAAGTATTTCTGTTTTCACAATATAGGAATTATTCTTTTCAACAGAAACCTCAGTTTTTCTCTTGTACAACTGGGTGATTCCAGGCTGCTAGATGAAGTATAGAAACAGAAGGATAATTCATTTGAATAAATTTGTCATCCCAAAGATTCGTAACTTCCTACCATAAACACTTATGAGAAAGGTATAAACTTGAAAAGGTACAGGAAAGCGCTAACCATAAATATTTGTGTAAAATATACATTCACACAGCTGTAACTGTTACAAATGCAGAAAAGTACGCTGGAGCCTCATTAACTTCACTGATTGGAAATTATAATATTCTGGGAATCAAACAATAAAAAATTCAAAGATGCTATATCCCAAACTATGATAAATCATTTATTTTGACAAGTAAGGGTAGTTTAGTTTTAATTATTTATTATTATACTTCATAGCATATCAGAAAATATGCAGTGATTTATTGTGCAAAATGAAATCTTAATAAAACGAGTCCCTTCCCCAAACTACAGGATTATTAAATCTTCATGGAAATGCGAGGGTGAACTCTTGGGTTATTTTCGTTATCGAGCTGGCGGGTTAGTAAACTGAAAATAAGCCATTCCTATTGCATTTAGTTATATTTCACTTCAGCCCTTTATAGACCCAAGCCATACAAGTCATACAACCTTGGGGATGAGGAGAGAATCAGAGAGCGATAACAGACCCCCAGCTCTTCTGCTGTCTTGCAGATGACGCAGTTGCATCTTACCGCTAAAGCCAGTGGGGGCTATTGGCTTCAGACTTTACACCCCTGCTAAAGCTACACATCATGGAGCTAATGGCTCCTCTTGAGGCAGGTGAAGGTAGACAAGACGTTTTAATGTACTATTCTTGTCCTTTTTGTACCAGTTTATAGCTCTCAGGACTTCAAGGTGGAAGGGTTACTCCACTGGCTACCACTGACACCTACAGCCCGGCCAGGACCCGCCTCACCCTCACAGTGGGTGTAAATTGGTGTACTTTAATTACTCCATTTGAGCTGTGTCAGTCTGAATGAGACTAGCCCTGCTGCAAAACCCCACTCGAGATCTTGGATTAACAGCACCGAGTGCCTGGATTAGCAGCCGAGGAAGGGCTGTCATCCCAGCAGCCGTGCTGCCACCACATCCCTACCTCCAGCACCCGTTTCCAAACCCCTCTAACCCCAGGTTGCTCCACTCAAGTGAGGGATTTATTTCTCTCCTTGGTTAGGGTTACGGTTTGGGGGAAAATTCAGTTTATACCTTGCGTTAACGATACAATGGAGAGAAACCGGGCTTTGCAGTCACTACCCCTGTTTCTTTCTAAGCAGAAAATTGCAAAGCTCACTGGTATTTAAAGGTAATTATTTCTATGAGCTTGTAATTTCTTCTGGGGATGATAGCACACAAACAAGCCCAGAAAGCTCCTGCATGAAACAATTTGAGGAAAAAACAGTGGGAGAAGAAAGGTGATGGAGTCTGAAGACTAAGAACAGCCCATGCTTCACCCAACACGACACGAGGGTGGGAGTTACATCATCAACTCTGTCCCCATGGCTTTCATCACACCTGGATCAATGGCAGTGAGGACATCCACCCCCTCATTGCTGCAGAATTGGAGAGGGAAATGGCACTCCCCACCTCTTAAGAGTCAGAGAGGTGTCCTCACATAAAGCAAGGGAAGTTCAGAAATGCCAGCTCTGGATTTAAAAAGGACAGTAACTGAGAAAGGGATTTTAAAGAAATATCAGATATTTTAAAATCTACAGCAAATATTTTTCACATATTTAAAAATTTACAGCAAATATTTTTCACATTTTCAGTGGAAACATTTCGCTGTTCTGTAAATTTCTGCTCTGAATCCCAGTCGTTTGGGTCAGTGTTAATTCCAGAGCAGCAAAATATCACACCAAAATCAGCAAGGCAGTCTATCCTCAAAGTAGGAGTCATGCTGAGCACTACTCCTTTAAAGGTAGCCTTAATAACGGGGAATAAGTACTGAAATGGTAAAAGGAAATGTTAATTTCACTATTAAATACATAATTATGTTAAGTACTTGTTTCTGCAATTGTAACACTTCAGCCTGATGCAAACTCACTTTCTGGCCTGTGCAATGGATTTAATTTCTTCCAATTTTTTTTTCAACTATAGAGGTAAAACACAGGAATTGCTGCTACAAAGATTACTTAGTTACAATTTATAGAAGTGTTTTATAAAGGTAAAGCATCACACAAGACAAGGACTATGGGCATGTTCCAGCAAATCAGCTGAGCTACTCCGGCACCTCGCTGCTCCTGCTCGTCCACTGGTGAACTTCTCCTTCGCCGTCTCCTCCGAGGCCACACGCTCCCCTTGCATCCCTCATCTCAGCGCTGCTGCTTCTCCGATGTTTTGTTGAGCTGCCTTAATTTGCTAAACGCCCAGAAAACAAACCTGGTCCCTTCACTCCAAATTCAGGCTTTTCTGCAGTTCCTGAGCTCAATGGACTCAATGAAGGGTCCCCCAATTGCAAAAGCTGCTGTTAGGGAGGGGACAGGAGCACAGCAGCTGGGAGGGGGAACCAGAGGAGGGGGGGATGGGCAAAGGAGAGAGACAATCGCTTCTTCTGGCTTTACAACACCTCAGATGAATTGAACACTGATGTTTGCATACAGATTCAGAGTTTGCTGAATTACAACCAAACTAAAGCTTATGCACATAAGCAGTTATAAATTTGGGGTAATTTAAAAAACCCCAACTAATAAAAGTAAAAAACCCCCACACTGCAGGTTTGTTCCAGTTAGGAAAATATCTTTAGCCTTTCTGTATAAATAGATATATTCCATTTTAGTATGGCAATGAGGAAATCATAAATACCTGTTCTTTAACTACAACCACCTTTGTACTATGAGAAAAGAAAAAACCTACTGGGTAGATCATTGCTACAACTCTGCAAAACATACTGCCTTTGCAAAAATCACAAAATAATTCTACCAAAACATCTTTAACACCTACATCATTTCTAAAAAGTCTACAGATTTTCAAATAATTACTAGCACTTTCATAAATATTTAATGCTATCTACAAAAGTTCTTTGACAGAACTGAAAACCTACTGTGCAAACCTCAATTTCTTTTACTGACTAAATAATCAACACAACAACTTACAAATCTGCCTTCTGCTTCATTAGTATTTTTCTAATTTATAAAGAACTAATGTAAGGGACAGTATACTTGCTATACTTCTCAGCTCCTGGGTGCGGGGGCTGAAAGCCGGTCTGGCAAAAGGAAAAAGACAAAACAAAGCAGCAGCTGGAGGCAGGGTTAGTTTTCAACAGGATCAGTGACCTGGTCTGGCTCATGGTGCGGCTCCACAACCACTACCGACAGCATGAGGCATGCAGCAGGACCACATGGCGGGAAAGGAGGTGCAAGTATTCTTCTTGGAAGAGAGCTGCTCTTAGGTAAGCTTAAACTGGATTATAAAACCATAACCTGAGAGACTTAAGATCTGTAATCTCTGATTTTACCTGACAGAGGGATTAATGAAGGTTCACTGATAAGCAAATGCCTGGTTGAGGTTTCCCTCTGTGAAACCATCACCCGTTGCATATATCACCTGTGAATCCTGCATGTCCACACACATCTCCTTCATCACCTGAAACAGTCACTCAAAGTACAGACTGGACCACAAGAGCACTTGCTTGGGTGTTGGGTTTGGTTTTTTTAAAACTTTGTATTTTAAAAAGTTCCATACGATTGTGCCACTTTCTCGGGAGTGTGTGCACTGTGAGGGAACGTGGGAGGGACATTTCACAGTCTACCAAATTAGGATCTGCAGGAACAAATTACAATTTCTTTGTTCTCCTGCATGGCACAGTCTGATCCAACCCTTGCTAAAAATTAATACGCTAAAAACATAACAGAAAAGGAAGGAAAAAGAAAAGTCCACAAAAGCTAGAGCCGCAGCAGAAGGTCAGGCCTCCCCAGGTCAGGCTGCTGGCAGCCCTGCCACTGCTGCAGGGCAGAGGCCCTTTAATTCAGGCAGTTACCTGCACGTCCGAGTAGGGGCCAACATGATGGATTCAGAAACATAAACCCAAGAATAACTATAGTGGGAAACTTAAGTTTAAATTATTAGAAGGTAAATACATGGCAAGCGCTACTCTGCTGCGCATACGATCCTTACAGAGTATCCCTAAAGAGCTGTATTTTTCTCTGAATTTGCATATTTTCTTACTCTACACAGTTATGACTGCTAAGTGCATATAAAAGAACTGTCATGAAATCCAAAAGAGAAGAAACAAAAAAATCAGTCACACTTAGAATTTTATGGGGGACTCATTTAAAATCCTACCTGATTTGCTCTTTCAAGGTCTGTCATGATCATCTCGATTTCATCAGCCCTGGGAGAACAAGAGAGCAGAAGTACTGTTATCACATGAAGAATGCCTGCTATAGGAGCTCATGCACAGTACAATTGCAACATTCATACAAACATCATCAATTTTCAATATTTTTTTAAAAGGACAAAGTAAGACTGATCAGCTAGTCTTCTGACTGGTGAAATCCTCTTGGGTTTCAGCTCTGCGGACTGGTTTGCAAGTCTCCAATTCCTTTGCCTGTTCCCTTTTTGCAATGAAATAAGTGTATTGATATTTGAGCATATTCATCAGATCTTTGAAGATCTTACTCCCCAACCTTCTGCAGAAGGGCAGTGTCATCTTTCCTACATGTAACTGTGCTTCACAAGTGATGATTATGGCGAAGTCAAAGGCTACAGTTCTTCAGTCAACTACTTGTATACACGTACATGAAAGTGGCCTGTTACTCTTCTGTTCCAGTGTGCCTAGAAGTTTGGTTCTAAATTTGGCTAGAATAAAAATATCAGAAGGTCAAAGAGACCAAGAAATTTAATTTTACATTATGCAGATAAGAGTTTTTTGACACAAATTTATGAAACTCTAAATTTAGACTCAGGCTCTCAATGCACGCTACAAAGCTGAACAGGAAAATCGAAGGGTTGGAAACTATACAGGTAGTCAAGGAAAAACAGATGCTTCACATACGTGTATTAGGTGGCAGCTATCAGCCCTGACCCTTTAAAAACCCCAGCATTTCTAAGACTTCGTTCACACAAATGGACCCAATCCTTAAGCAATCTTTTTTTATCATCATGCTGAATCATGGGCAAATATTTCACACACATGCTCTCACCTGTGAAAGGTACCAGGAAAAGGGCCTACAGACCTAAAAGTATATTCTGTATCAGTATAATAAGACATATTACTTCTCCCAAGACATTATGCCTGTCTTATATCTCTGGACCATATGGAAGCAATAAACACTATCCTCATCTCCTATGAACAGCAGCTTTAACCAGCAAGTCCTTTTGCAATCTGCCAACACTATAAAGTCTGTTTTTTGTTTTTAATCTGTAGCAGATCATTATCAGTAAAAGCTGTGAAATACTGGAATTCCCTTCCTCTGCCAATGCAGAAAAGTCAGGGTTTGTTTTTCTGCTGATCCCACAGAAGATCCATTTTTCTGTGCAGGTGTTGCTGGGAAAGATGGTTAATTGAAGTACATCAGGGTACTGGCACACTCAACACTGGATCATTACACTGAATATTGACTTGCTCTTCATCAGCATTTTAGGTTCCTGCATGCACACTTAGGGAAATGCAGTAAAAGATCATAATAAGTAAATGTGTATGTATGTAAGTTAATGGAAAATTATTTTTAATTACAGCCTTTAATGTTGTCAGGGCAACATGAATTGCCATTTGAAAAAATCTTCTGGACAATAATGGAAAACAGATTAACATGTGTTTTCTTGTGCAGGAGAAGCTAATGTGCTCTTACATTGGAAAGATACCATGCACATGACGTTCTGAATTAATAATAAATAATAAACATTAGTTACTGAATTGAACAATCACTCCTTGGGCAAATAAGGATTCAAAGTGTGCAGGGAGTAGCCAGAAGACTCACCTGGACAGGTTGACATAAGCCTACACTAACACTTTCGATCTCTTTAGCCTCTGTAGTTGTGAAATATCTTTTGTTTTAGACTTCAGCCCCAAAATACTTGCTAACCCACGTAAAGAAATTACACTATTTCACATGGAAAAGATGTCCCTAAGACCATGCAAGTGACCCCATTATGAATCTGTAACAGAGATAAGAGCGGAGAGAGCATCCTAACGCACAAAAAAAAAAAAAAGTTTCCCAGCGTGTTACAAATATTTTTAGCCAGGATAGTTTAAGGATCCTCTTTATATAAGCTTATTCATTCAGGCTGAATTTATGTGTGAATGCCTCAGGTTATATGGAGCCAGTAAATGATGTCTGGATTGTGTCACATGCCTCCCAGATCAGAGCTGGGAATGTCCCATCCCAACATGCCGGCTACAGCTTAAGCGAATCCAGTTTCCACTCACTTCTCTGGAGGGTTTGGAGAACAATAAAATCACTGCCTTTCCTCCCAAACAGGGGGTGCCAGGTATCAGCCAAAGGTCTGAAAAACTGCAAAACCTGAGAAGAGCAAAGGACTCAGAAGTGCAAAACACTTGGACCGGGAGAGGAAAAGTGCCCTGCTTTGGGAGCAGAAAGGTTGTTTTTCAGTTCAGCGAAGGAAACTTTTTTTTTGGAGAAAAGAAGATGACTCTGATGCAGAAGAGATGAGCAGAAAGAGGCAGAACTGTGAAGGGGTCTGGACCCATCAAAGGACCCTCAGCCACCTTTAAAGGTCACAGAAGCAAGGGATGGGAGTCAAGGGTAGGGAAACAGATGAAGACAGCAGAGCAAGACAAGGAACAGAGGGATGTGTGAGGCCAAAGGACCAAGGGGAGATGATACCAAGAGCAGTAAAGCAGAGGAGCACCCCAGGCCAGCGGAAAGGTGCGTGGCTGCCAGTAAAACAGGCTGAAACACAGGACTGTGCCTGAAAAATGAGGTGGAAAGACTCAGGACAATCCTGTATTTAAAATGGACAGAAGTATTAATACCAGTATTTGTATGCCATTTCAGCTGGGGTCAGGATTTAAGAGCTCTATTACAGCACTGGTATATGAAGCCAATTACAAAAAAAAGCGACTGAGGATATAGAACGCCATAAAAATGACATTTCTGCCCTTCAGCGTGCACAGATAATTCTGACTAAATCCAGTAGAAGTGTCAAACTGTAGCCAAGGGCAAAATTGTCCCTTTGTCCTTGCATCCAGACACACCAGCTGACTGATCCTGAACTCCCCTTTCCCTCATACATTTTTTCTACGTAGCTTTTCCACACACAATCTGTCTCCCCACACCTAATAGAAGGATGCAACATCTCCAAAAAAATTCAAGCAAAACATCTCCAGCCTAGCAGTCTGCACACCAATGGAGGTTAATGCTGCAACCATAAATGTTATCTTTAAGTAAAGTAATGAATTAAATTACTCTATATTCTTTCCTAGCACAAGTGTCAACAGCATTCAGAAGAATCTTCAAAAGGAATTCAGTCTTTTCATTTTAAAAGCTCAACTACCACATCAGTAGCTAGTACTCAGCAGTCTAAAATCACTTATTTGAGAAAGTCTCTAATAGCTACATTCACTGTTTGCTCAGCAGAAGTATTTATTATAAAATAAATTACAGTTCTCACACCTTTTATGCACTCACAGAAACAACTTGCATTGATTTATTGTTTACAAAGCACCGTGTCGAATTCAAACCTGCAAGGTACGAGGAAACTCCACTTTGGCTGACTGAATTAGTCCCACACAGGTAATTTTTGATGTATTCACCATCCGCCACATTTGCTCATTTTCAGCCCTCCCTATTTCAATATTTCTCTTTATTTCACCGGAACTATTTGACAGGCAAAATACCATCAAGCTCAAGGCTGCCAGCATCTTGTTCTGCAGGTTTTCACTGAAAATCTGGTGAGAACCGTGAAGGGAACAATGGCCAAGTTTAGCAAATCCGTGGCTATACTGGCCCTAAATTTCTGACCAAAGTCATTCCATGCGAACTAAACCCAATTATAAGAGACACAGATCTGATGATTTTACTTTTAACTTCCTTTGTTCCTGAAGCAACACATGACTTGGGCTCTTGTGAGTGCCTGCATTCCCCCATCACCCCAAGAGCTGAAGGCAAGGAGAAAAACCCCAAAGTTCTGCCTTCAGAGAGACACAGTGAATGAGGGTAATTAGTAACAATTACACCTTTTTTCTAGAATACACTGATATTTACAGTGTTTTACAGCAGATTCTACGTTGCAACCCAACATTATTCAGGGTTTGTCAAGGGTGATAGTTTCTTAACATTAAAACAGATAATCAGAAAAAGAATTGGTAAAAGCTGTTTTCAGGAACAAATATTATCTACCCTGGGTTTTCTCATTCCACAGATAGTATAATCATTTATCTGATCTAATTCCTTATAATCTCTGTGTTAGCGGAAAAGTAATCATGTAAGCAAGACAGTTCTTCTGTCTGTATTACAGATAGCTTGTTCTAAGTTTCAACACTTTCAGGCTAAGGAATTTGGAAATAAAATTTTAAGCCCAAGCATTTGGAGCTACAGAATAAGCATCACCAAGTAAAAAGAATCTGAACTGTTGAAACAGCATGACCATGAAATATTCTATTATTTCTTCTCTTGCTACTGTGTTTGAAGTGAAAAACAAAACACATTAAAAGTTAGAGATTTTACAAGGTATAAGCTTTTACCAGTCATGAAAGAGCCCTCAAAGCTAACATGCCATCTATAAAAAAAAGAACTTAAGGAGTTAAAAAAAACCAAACCTACAAACCACCCCACTTTTCAATTCAATTGCTTATGGGAAATAAAAACCACAGAAAGGCTCAATTTTCTTTTTAAGATCAAGATAACCGATTAGGTTGGAACAGCATAACAAGCAAGCAAATTCAAGAATGGGTAACATGGAAGAAGCTCAGTTCTTTTTCTAAATAAAATTAAATCAGATGAAACCCCTAAACACCATGAAGCTATTCACTTGCAAGCAAGAAGAATCTGGACTTTATGATTAAAATCCAGTTGATCCAACTCCTTCATTTAGACACTAGCTTAAAGAGGCAGAAACAATTCCTTTTTTATTAACATGACAAGCGAATGGTTTGCCAAATCTTGTGGCTACAGCCCCCTAAACATTCAAACTTACTGAACCTTGAAGGAAACTGCTGTTGGATTCTTTATACATGGAAGAACTGAAAAATACAGATGACACTTTTGAAATTGCAGTCAGTGGCATGGCCAAGAAACTTCACTAGCAGGGCAGATTAATATTTTGGTTTGGCAAAAAACAAACAACATTTTTTCCCACACATTTGTTTTCTTTAAAAACATGTATAAGTTTACCGGTCAGAGCAAACGGTATATGGAGCCACTGGGGCTT